GAAAAAAAGAAAGCTTTTAACAAGTTAGCGGCAACTCTGTTTTGCAAGTCGAGTGTTCATGGTTGTCCTGTAGATATGCTTAGGTGTGCACACCCCTCCTAGCCTTCTGTGTGTCAGGGGTTGGGCCGGTAAAGGGAGGTGCCCCCCCACTGCTCCCCATGGGAGTTTCCCTGCATTGATTAGCAATAAGCCAGACGATATAATGGTGGTATAACTCAGAGGGAGACGGCTTTATGGGTGCAGGGAAGAGGGCAAGCTAGGCGGCCAAAATCGGCTCGCTTCAGAGCCTTGTCAGCTGCATACCTCTCAAGGGTCCAGAGGGACCAGGTGGGAGGAGGATGTGTCTGTAGTTTTGCGTGAGGCTGGTCACACATGACGCAAAAGAAAGAAAAAAACAACAACTCAACACTCAATGGGTTAGAGCGAAGGGAAGACAGGGTGTCAGGGTGGTTGTCATGTATTGACTGTGCATAGATAAGCTGTGTGTGTTTAGGCAGGCGGGTATGTGGCTTTGGATGCATGCACAATTACCCCTCAGCCCCCTAACCCAACCTCCCATCCCCTCTCTCTCTCTCTCTCTCTTTCTCTCTCACACTCACTCACACACCACACACACAGAGTGACGGCACAGTGTGATGGTTTATAAATGAACAAATCGCCAGAGGAGATGGAGAACGGAGGCTGGATGATCTAAGAGTGATTGAAGTGGATGCAAGAGAGTATGGGAAGTGCGTTTGTGTGTGCACGCATGTTTATGTGTGTTTGAAGGACGGATTCGGGCGAGTGGTGTGAGACGGTGAGAAATGAGATTGAACCTCAAGAGAGATTTCTATACGAGGCGTGTGCGTGTCTGCACGTGTGTGGGTGTGTGTGCAGGTGTGTGAAATGCAGAGCGCATAGCGGTCCTGCTGTGCCTCATTAAGCCCATGTTGCGCACAGCTCCGGACCTCGTCATCTCCTTCTCAAAGCGCTGCGAGTGTGTGGGGTATGTGCTGCAGCATGGTCGGTGTGTGTGTGTGTGTGTGTGTGTGGGTCTGCGAGCTCTCGACATTGATTTCCTGACAAGCCCCCCCCCCCGGCAGCACCAATCGTCACGCCACGGACTGGCAGCACTGATTTCACCATTTGTATCTCTCCTCCCACCACCACACAGACTCTCTCTCTCTCACTCTCCTCCTCTCTCTCCCTCTCCTTCTTTGTGTGTGTCTCTTTCTCACTCCCTTACTCTCTCTTTTGCTCCTTTACTCGCTCAGTTGCATGATTGCTTTCTCTTTTTTCGGCTTTCACTGTTTCCTTTTTCTCTTCTTTATCCCTTGCTTTCCTTTTCTCTCACACTCCCTATTGTGTTTGATCTAAACACTCTCTCTCTTTGGATCTATACATTTCCAAGGTCTCTTTCCCACCCACCATTCTGTTCTATTTAAACCACCAGCCATCTCTCTTTTTCTGCCACCTCCCACACGCTCGCACACTGCTGCTGTCCATCAGATTGGGGCAGAGAGGGGGGGTACAGTGTGCCCTGGCGAAATAAGAGCGAGAAAGCATGTGTTAGAGTGTGTGTGTGTGTAGGTGTGTGTGTGTCTGTTGCACACAACTCGAGAGGGATTGAGTGTGTGTCAGCCGTGTCGCCGCCGCTCGATTGACCACACTTGGAACAAGTCAGGGCAGGACTTCCACTCAATTGACCGGGCGACGCTGTACGCTCTATAAAGTATCGACGCCCACACCAAGGCCCAAGACACTGGAGCACACACATTATCTGTCTGGCACACACACACACACACACACAAAGCAGTGTTCTGCGGTTGAGATTTTTCAAACTTATTGGAACGTTGCCAATGATCATTTTTCAGTAATAACCAGTAAGAATCATCTTCAGGTTTCTTAACCCCTTTCCTTTAAAAATAGGCTGTTTGTGCAATTAAGTTAAAATTTTTCCCCACACAGTTTAGACAGCTGTGTCCTCAAATTTTGTAGTCACCAGCACCCGCTCAGTGAGAATCTGCATCCTGTTTGTGGTTTTGATGCAGACATCTCCATCTGCAAATCATCTTTTCCACAACGTTGAGGGTAATTATGGTTTATATTACCATGAGTAATTGGCAGTCTGGCTGTATAGGCATTTGCCTGCACCTGAAAAATGACCCTGATGTGAGTGCCAACAGAGGGATGAACTGAAGAAGAAAAGAATTGATTTAGTTATTGGGTTTTTTCTCAGGGGCAAAGCTCCCCGGTCATGGCGCTCATAATGAAATAAATGTCTGCCTTTTATTAGGTTTTACCATGTGATGGCGTGGGGGGTGCCTCTGGTCATGGCCTCTTTGCCGCTGCTAAAGGGTTACTATGGCCCCGCGGGAGCCTGGTGGTGAGTACAGCCAACTGTCCGGCTACAGCATCATTTTTATGTGTTTTTTTTTTTTTGCAGCCAGTGACAGCATATTTTCTGTTAAATGTCTTTCCTTTCAAGGAGGGCCACAGTGCTGGCCTCATTCCAGCTCCACACAGGCTCTTTCTCTCATAAGATTTTATGTGATCAAAATTGGCAATTATCAGCACATCTTTGAGCAGTAAAACGCCCCCTCAGACTCTCCAGTTCTTGTGGTGAATAGGAAAGGCATTATTTGTTTGGAGGGTAGTTAAAGGGGTGAGGAAAAGGGGAAGAGGCCGAGGAGAGGAGGCGGTGGAATGAGAATTGGGACAGAGCCTTAATCTCCGGGCTCGGCTCTCTCTTTCCACTCTCGGCTTATTAATAGCTACAGCTGCACAGCTTTTCCCCTCCGCAGTCACACAAGTCTCTCTTCCGCTCTCCCTTTCCTTTGTAACCCCCTCATCGGTCTCTCTCTCTCTCTCTCTTCCCCCAGCTGGATCACAGACGATCACGTAGCCTGGAGATTTGGGATGTAAGTAGACCCTTTCAGCGCCGGCATCAAAGCTTCCCCCACTGGGGGGAGATGGGGAGGAGGAGCAGGGAGGAGGGCTGTCTCTGCGGGGAAATGTGAAGGGTTGCATGTCAGGGGAGCCTGCGGGGTTTTTTCCCTCTTGGTGTAATGCCAAGATGTGTGTGTGTGTGTGTGTGTGTGTGTGTGTGTGTGTGAGCACACATGGATGTGCCTGTGTCTGCCTCTGCCTTGTCAGATTTAGGGGAGTTGCTACTCTGTGTATTTAAGTGTTTAGGACGGCTATGAAGGATTATGCCTGTCTACTGCTTTCTGCAACTGGCCCTAAGTCTGCAAGGGCTCTGCCAATCCCCAGCGCAGACACTTAACCACACACACACGCACATGCACACAACAACACTTTGCTGTGAGCCAAGGTAATCGCGTTTCTGCTCGCAGCATCAGCAGGGAATCAATCTTTCTAAACAAATAAGCATGCACACACACAGACAGACTCACGCAGACAAACACTCACGCGCGCATGCGGAACAACACATAGCTATCAGCTGTGCTAAACGAGCCTGTGTCTGTTTTATCAGTGCTCCTCTGCTCCCCGGCTCTTTCTAGTTTTCCATGCTGTCATGGCCCAGGGGGACGAGCCGCTCAGAGGATCAGGGAATCTTCATTAGCTCTAATTACATCAAACCAGTCGAGAGATTAGAGGCCGAGGCTGCAGCACCCGTCAAGGAAAAAAACACATAGGCTCAAACGCACACACCCTGCTGACAGCTTGCTGGGAAAGGCGCAGGAGAGCAGCGGTTTTAGTATTAAAGGTGAAAAGTGGAAAAGGTGGGAGGGGAGACATAAGGGGTACAGTTAGAGAGACAGGGAATTACTCAGCGGGAGAAGGAAAGAGGGGCGGCATAGCGGGACGCGAAGAAGAGGAGAGTGAGAGAAATAGATTGCCCTCGTCTCTGCCCACGCCCCGTAGTGTGTCTTCATCAGAGTTCAGCGAAGCGCGCAGACAGGACAGAGGAGGCGGGGGAGGCTCGGAGGAGGACGGTGTGAAAGGGGATGAAAGAGGAAGGAGAATGAAAAGCAGAGGACAGCGTTTTGTGACGGAGGTGCAGAATTTCAGGGGTTGAGTCAGCAGTTGGAAGCACTCAAGCTTAGCTGAGTCACCGCTCTTAGAGGTCCCCATTGGTGTGCTTCATGGGCCCTGGTCAGACATAACACTGAAAAACTGGGAAATTACATCAAAAACTGGAAGCTCATAATTACTAGGGTACTTTTAGTTAACTAGCAATATCTGGGGATTGTAGTCAGTTGGTTAGTCAGTCAGCTCGTCTGTCCACCATGTCGGTCCACATTGAATATCTCAACATTGATTGGATGGATTGTAATTATATTTTGTACAGGCATTCATGGTGCCCAGAGAAAGAATCCTATAGACTTTGATGACCTTCTGACTTTTCCTCCAGCACCACCACTGTATAAGGACCAGAAAACTTTGCTTGGAAAGGTGAACTTACTAGTGGACAAAGTTGACATTTTTGGTTTCTAGTGACTTGGATGGATTACCATTAAATTTATTGCAGACATTCATGGTGCGCAGAGGATGAATCATAAATCATCACTTTTGTGTTTTTTTTATAACAATCTTTTTAGGAATGTTGTGCTTTTACTAGGTAATTCACAGTAAAGACAATGACATGCACAAAGGTCCCCGGGTGGATTCAAGCTTGGGGCATTGTGTTTTGGACCTTAAGGCCATTAGAACGCACTGACCTATATGGCTTGTTAGTGAAATCCCTTGACAGCTTTTCTGTTGATTGTCATGAAAATTGGGTCACACGTGCATGTACCCGCTCAGGATTCATTTAAATTTGGGGCCCCCCTAACTTTTTATCCAACACCATTATCGGGTCAAATATTCATTTGTCTAATACCCTGCAATACTAATGACGTTCTAGTCAGTCTCAACTGTACTTTGTGTTTAGTGATCATTAGCAAAACACACTATTGGGATGGTAAACATAGTAAACACTATTCCTGCTAAACATCATCATGTTAGCATTGTCATTGTAAGCAT